CCCTCCCGCTGCTGCTGCTGCTGCTGCTGCTGCTGTGCTGCTGCTGCTGCGCCGGCCAGCGCAGCGGCTTGGGACTACTAGGGTTAAGGGTTTGGAGGAGAAGGAAGGGCTGAAGCTCCCTGGCCTAGGGCTGCGCTGCGGGCCCAGGTTTAGGGTTTAGGGTTTAGGGTTTAGGGTTTGGCGGGGCCCACCTGGGGGCCGCGGTCTCCAGGCAGGCGCCAGACTTGACTGCGCAAAGGCCCGAAAACACTAAAGGCGGCAGCAAAGGCTCTCGAGTCATTCCCAAGACAGCAGCACTAGTGGTTATGAACAGCCGCACTAGCTGCTGCTTCCTCTCCTCCCCCAGCAGGTGCTGCAGCAGCAGCAGCAACCCACCCCACGAGGGTTTGCGCCTAGGGTTTAGGGTTTAGGGTTTGGGGTTCAGGATTCAGGATTCAGGGACTACGGTTTAGGGTTTTGGGCTCAGTATCTAGGGTTTAAAGTTTACGGTTTGGGGTTCAGGGTTTAGGGTTTAGGGTTTAGGGTTTAGGGTTTGCGGGACTCGAGCCTGCGCTGCTGCGGCTTACTTCGTACTCCGGAGGGGGGAAGTCCAGCATCGCTGCGAGGGCCAGCACCCGGCGGATGTCTGGGCAGCGCTCTGCGCGCAGCAGCAGCAGCAGCAACAGCAGCAGCAGCAGCAGCAGCAGCCGCAGCAGCAACATGCTCCGCAGCTCAGAACGCAGCAATTCACATTCTGCAGCACTCCTGCAGAAGGGGCACTCAGCAGGCGACGAGCTCCAGCAGCAGCGATGCCACCAGCAGTTGCAGTAGCAGCAGCAGCAGCAGCAGCAGCAGCAGCACTAGCAGCACTAGCAGCACGAACATTAGCAGTGGCAGCTGTTGCTCGTTCTGGCCTTTCGCTGTCAGGCACACAGCCCCACAAAGTCTGGAGCTGAGGGTTTAGGGTCTAGGGTTTAGGGTTTAGGGTTTAGGGTTTAGGGGCGGCAGCGAAGTACCCAAGTCTCCCGGCTTGATGTGCTCCTTAATATACTTCACAGCTTCTCGTGGCTTCTTCTTCCGCAGCAGGTTTATCGCGTGCTGCATGCGCACTTCTGTCTCCAAAGAACTCTGCAGCAGCAGCAGCAGCAGGGGCAGCAGCAGCAGTAACAGCAGCAGCATCCAGTCAGCAGCAGTAGCAGAGACAACAGCACCACCAGCGACGAAGAACTTTCAGACATAGTAGCAGGTCGATAAGTCAACTGCCGTAGCAGCAGCAGCAGCAACTGCACCCGCAGCACAAACGGCAGCAGCAGCAACAGTGCCCGCAGCAACAGCAGCGGCAGCAAAGTCTGCCACAGCAACAGCACCCACAGAACCTGCAACAGCAGCAGAAAAAGCATCCGCATCAGCAAAGCCAACAGCAGCAGGAGAACCCGCAGCAGCACCACCCCCACCCACAACAGCACCGCAGCAACAAAACCAGCAGCAACAGCAACAGCAGCAGCAGCAGCAGCAGCAGCAGCAGCAGGTCTCATTACGTTAAGTTTTCGAAGCTTTGCGCTGTGCGTCTCTATCCAGGCCAGAGCCTCTGCTGTGGAGTCGCTCAGCAGCGCGTCTACTACAGCAGAAACTTCCCCGTGAACTTCGCCGTCCCAAAAGTCCTGCAGCAGCAGCAGCAGCAGCAGCAGTAGCAGCAGCAGGGGGAGGG